CTGTTATCATTTTCAAATTTGATCTACACCATTACATTTAGGTGTAAAATTAATTATATTTGACTCTATTAAATTTAATTTTCTCTATTTTCAACCAAATATACTCAATAATTTACAAATTTTGCACTCAATTGAATAAAATTCACTTAATTTCACCCAATTTTACTCAATTTTTACCAAATTGTATTCAAATGGAACATAAGACTATTTGAATTTATCTTTTATCCTTTCATTTATATACATAAGTATATTAATATATGTGAGAAAAATTTTATATTTCAAAACTAAATTTTAAAATCAATTTAATTATATTAAATTTATATCATAATTAAATATATATGTTTTCATAATTTATAGTCCAAATTTGTAAAATATGACTAAAAAGTCAAAAAGGGAAGATTATTTAGGATAGAGATAATATAATTAGAAAAAAATATAAAATAATATGAGGTATTGAATTGATGATAGATTGATAAATGTGATAAAAATAAAAAGAAACACGGATAGTTAAATTTTAATTAGAAAATAATATATATCCAAAATATATTTGATCCGAAACCGAAATATATCCGAACCGAACTAGACCCGAAACCGAAATATATCCGACTCAAATTGTATCCGAACCGAAATCTATCCGAACCGATTTATAACCGAACCGTATCTAAACCGACTCGAAACCGAACCGAATCGAAAAATGTATAGAACCGAAATCAAATTCGAACCGAAATTTAACCGATCCGAACCGAACCGATTATAACATATAACCGAAAGATATCCGAACCAAAAAAATCCAACCCAAAACCGATCCGGTTGATTCGATTGTCACCTCTACTTGAAATGCATGCATGCCGCCAAAGTGTTTCATTCCTTTGTTTTTTCTTTTATTCTTTCATTTATTTTATTTTTTTCTCTCTCCAAAAATAAAATGAACTCCAACATAATTCATATTTGATAAAGAGAGAGCTATCTCAACAAATTATCCCTTTGACATAATTTACCAAATATTTCAATTAACATAATCAATATTTGTTAAGTGGAGAGACATTCCAACACACGACCTAACGCGAATAGAGAAAAATGTGAGCACTTTCCGCTGATATTATGGCTTTTTTTTGTACACAATTTTTCAAAGAGGCTTTGTTGAAAGAAGTTTTTTTAGGTAAATAATTGACCAAACAATTTTTTCCCTTAATGTCAAAAAACAGTAAAATATTTCCCATTTTCTGAAACAATTCATTCCTATTTCTCTCTTTAAATGTAAGAAAAATTATATTCGCTCTAAAAATAATCTCTCCTAAACAAGTTTCATTCACATTTTTTCACTTTCCAATGTTTTAGGGGACTATTAAACTATTAAAGTGTTTCACACATTTTTTCACTTTCCAATGTTTTTCTTAAATCTTGTAAAATCAAACACCTAAGTTCTATTCAAGACGGAGGGAGTATTAGAAGTGTTTGATGAGTAGATTTTTAGAACATTATTAAGTTTTTTTAAAACAGTTATCCTAAATACCTGACACAACATTGACCCGAAAATTGGTTCAAATTTCAAACAAACACAAACATAGATAACAAGGACACAAATCACACAATCTGCTAACCCATTCGCTGGGGTAAAATCCGAGCTGAGCTATCTTCAGGGAGATTCCTGCAAGTTTGATAGGACTGTTGGGCTTGACGACCAATCAAAAAAAAAACATGAGTATATTGATATCAATAAATCGTTCAAACAGGTAAAATGTAGTGCCCATCAAAACAGGAGTAGGGCTTTTAACTTAGACAGTAGAGTGCAACAGAGACAACCTCCTCCACTGGGGGAGGATATGAAATTGAAACTAAAATAAGAAAAATCAAAATAAAAAAAAAAGAATATCAGCTAATAGAGCATAGCATATATAGTATATAAGGTGTGTGGGTGCGTGGGTGGGTGCGTCTAAGCAACGGCGGGCATGTCCTTGAGCCAAGCATCCAATGGCTTGCCAATTGAGTAGACGATAAACCCAATCTCTCTCAGCTTCTCCGCATTCACCACATTCCTACCGTCAAAAACAAAAGCAGGTTTTTGCATGTTCTCATATATCCTGGTGTAGTCCAGGTTCTTGAATTCGTCCCACTCTGTAAGGATGCACAGGCCGTGAGCGTCTTTGGTTGCCTCGTACGCATCCCAAACTACAGAAACTTTCTTCACCATGGATGGGCTCATGGGCTGGAGGTGAAGGGGGTGATCCCAGTCAAACTTGTTCATCGACAGGTCTCTTTGGATCTGGTCCTCGCTCACCTGAGGGTCGTAGATGCTCAACACAGCATTGTCGCCCATCAGTCCCTTGCAGACATCAATTGCAGGGGTCTCCCTAGTGTCGCCCGTGTCCTTCTTGAAAGCGAATCCGAGAATGGCGATTTTCTTGTTTGACACAGTGTTGAACATGGACGCGACAACACGGTTGACAAAACGGCTCTTCTGGTAGTCATTGATCTTGATTACTTGCTTCCAGTATTCTGCCACCTCAGGGAGGCCATTGCATTCGCAAATGTAAACAAGGTTCAGAATGTCCTTTTGGAAGCATGAGCCGCCAAAGCCAACACTGGCGTTCAAGAATTTGGGACCAATCCTCGTGTCCTTACCCACAGCATATGAGACCTGGGTAACATCTGCTCCAGTGGCTTCACAGAGAGCTGACATGGCATTGACAGAAGATATCCTCTGTGCCAAGAATGCATTGGCAGCCAGTTTTGATAGCTCGGCAGACCATAAATTGGTCGTTAAGATGCAATCTTCAGGGACCCAACGGGCATAGACGTCCTTGAGTGCCTGGACTGCCTTGTTGCCTTCTGGGGTCTCCCGACCACCGATGAGTACCCTGTCGGGTTTAAAAAGGTCTTGGATGGCTGTTCCCTCTGCAAGAAATTCCGGGTTTGAGAGGATCTGGAAGTTAATTCCCTTGCTGTTGTGGGTCAAAATCTTTTCAATAGCCTCAGCAGTTTTCACTGGGACAGTTGATTTCTCCACAACTATTTTGTCAGATTTTGAAACATCTGCAATCATGCGAGCGGCACTCTCCCAGTAAGTCAAATCTGCAGCTTTGCCTGCTCCAAGACCTCGAGTCTTGGTAGGAGTATTGACAGAAACAAAGACTATGTCTGCCTCCCTCACATACTTCTCCACATCTGTGCTAAAGAAGAGGTTCCTGCCACGGGACTCCTTCACTACATCATCAAGGCCTGGCTCATAGATGGGTAGCTGGTCGCTGTTCCATGCGTTGATCCGAGGCGCAGAAATATCAACCACAGCCACTTCAATGTCTGGGCACTTCAGTGCTATCACAGCCATGGTGGGGCCTCCGACATATCCAGCACCAATGCAGCAGATCTTCACCATTTTCGTTCTGCAAATTCAAAGTGATTGAAAGAGAGGTATGGAAGTCTATGAATTTCGTATACTGCCCGCTGTAAAAGGTATAAAGATTAAATATTGAATGCTTCGATGAAAACATATAGCAAGATCTGCAATTGTTGTTGGTTACATATGACTACACCAAAAATACAGTTCACATATTTTCCTGGAGATCTAGCCCGTTTGGTGAGGGTAGGAGATATGGGTTTTCATATCTCCCGGTATCAATTTTTTTTTGAGCATGGTGAGGCAAAAAAAAAGAATACGAATTCGGTATCTCTAGATATCACAAATCCTCGATATCTTCCGAATTTGAGAGATATCAATGTGAGGATTTGATCTCTCTCAACCGTTGACCATCCCCCGCCAATCACTAATTAAATCGTGATTTTAAAACTCTCCAAAGAACTTCATTTCAGATTTAGAAACCTATACTATTTTTCCCAGATTTCAAAATCCATATCATATCATATCTCCAAAACTCACCAAACACATAAATATCATTAATTGATAGAAGTCCCATCTTTGTTTAACGAATAGAGGTCAAAGATCTAGTTATTACTATAAGTTTTTCTATAACATGCAGAATAAAGACGCAACCAAATGTTAGATCTACAGATAAAAACTGATCATGCACCAAACTCAAAACTGATCATGCACCACCGACAAAAACTCAATGCTTTCCAAACTGTCAGCAAAAATAAATGAAAACAGTAATCAAACCAGACAAAATTTCAGACTACTAATGATGCTTTATATGAGCAATGCTGGTGTGATCGCATCAGAATGTAGACTTACCTGCATTGCCAAAATCACAAACGATCACAACTTATACAATCATAAGATTTCATCACATAAACACGAAGATCAATGCTGAAGCATCAAAATTGCTGACAAGCTGCAACCGGATCTAGAATCATTTCACTAAGTTAAAAAAAATCCCCACAAAAAAAAACAAAAATGCATCATTTTCATAGCGACAGAGGTTCTAGATCTAACAGCCCCTGCCCAAGAAATGCAGATCTAACGAAATTCTACAGCTCCAGTTCACGATCAGGCAACCGACACAAAGATCAACGACAAAATATCAATAGAAACGGACAAATAAAGGCATGCCACACCACACCCCGTTCCGATTACGGTTAAAAAACAAGGAAAAAAATGCGCTTTGATCGAATAAGGCGAGAGAGAAAATTGATCCGCGACCCATACCAAAGATCAATGTCAATTGAATCACACAAATTTAGACATTAAATGGATACATATCAGGCTAGTGCAGAGAAAATGAAGGTGAAGATAGATAAAAGCACCTCTGGGATTCGCTGCTTCTGATGACAATGGAAGGGACGAAGAAGAGGAAAGTATAGGAGATGGATGGAAGATGTAAGGCAGAAGAGCTACATGGGCGGGGAGCTCCTTAAATAGTCGTTGCGGATCTAAGATCTATTGGTCTCGTTGCCTCTAAACTCTAATCCACCAAAAGGTAGCTTTCAGACTTCGCTTGTAAAACCAGAAAAAAATCCACTCCAATTTCTAAGGCATAATAATGACGATAACAAAATTCCTTTTCTGCCACATTTTGTTACCAGTACTTTACACTCCGTAATTCCTTTAATCACATTTTTTGACGACTACTTTAGAAATGTAACCCCCATGATTTTGCGAGATTTAATACGGAGTATCTTTTAGTAAAAAAATAAAATTACATTTTCACAAATCACATATTATGTATATATATAATTAGAGAACGCGAATTCTTACTTATCCAGTGACGGATCCAAAAATTCAGATAGTTAAGGATTTTGTTGGTCGGGGACGATGTCCCATATTTTTTTAATACTTAACATCAAATGATAAAAAAAATTATGATTTTTATTTTAAACATTTATTGAATGTGAATTTTTTTAATAGGCACAATGGAATTATATTTTATAAATAACTAATTATATGCAATAAACTATAAAACATAAACAAAAATTAAAATTTGACCTAATTAGACGGGGTCTCCTTAATTTAGCCATACATATGAAGTACACAATGTAATACTTTGAACATTAAAGAAGAAATTATTGATTAATTAGTGTCTTCAAAATCACATTTCAAAACAAAACTATTGATATCATATTTGTAACGAACACACAATATGTTTTTCCACATATCGAGAGAGTTATAAACATTTCATTCAAATGTTTACAAAAATACATCACCTACATCCTTGAATATTTGTATAAATTTGACTTTTTGCAGTCAAAGTAAATTTTGATAAAGGATAACATTGATATTAGATATTGATAAAACATTATTGTACCTAATTAGCATACTATATAATTTACACACTCCATTCCAATTTAAAGTTCCTAGTTTGAATTTGCACGGTGTTTAAGAAAAGTAAAATTATGTGGTCAAAAGTGATGCTGAAGAGAGAGAGAAAAACCTAAGCCACAAAAAGCTTACTAGAAAAGGAAATGGGAAAATTAAATTGAGACAACTTAAAAAGGAACTGAGGAATATTAATTTGGAATGGAAAGGGTATTTAGGAATAAAAGTTCGTGGAATAAAAAGGATAATAATATGTTGAAAGTTCGTGTACTTTTGTGATAGAAATTAAAGTTTATATACTGAAGTGAAATAATGATGAAAGTTCGTATACCATGAGTGAAATTTACCTGCTCAATTTTTTTTATTTTCTCCATTGCTATCAAGTAAGGGTGGGCATTATTTGGTCTGGTCCCGGATCGACCTGAAACCCGGTCAAAATCAGACCGGACCGGTCCGTTATTGGTACGGTCTTCGGTCGTCTAAAATCTCTTATTTAGGTTTCGGTCCAGTCCACTGGGTTTCGGTCTCCACCCGTGGACCGGTCAAACATTTTTTTTAATTTTTTTCTATATAATAATACAATATAACTATTCAATGCTTCTCGTTTTTTATCAAAACTTTTTTAAACAGTCAATTTAAATAAAATAGCAATTCCATAAATGTTTTTTCTTACAAATTATGTTACTCCCTCCGTCCTAATATTAATTTCCCGTTTTGACTTTTGCAGTCAAAGTTTTTAAACTTTGACTGCATATTACGGAAAAAATATATTGAATTTTCATATAAATTTAGTAACAATAGATTCATTTTGAAACATAGTTTTGAAATATATTATTTTGATAATATATATTCATATAAAAATGAAGATATTAATGGTTAAAGTGCCGCATTGAAGACCGTGAAAAGTCAAATGAGAAGTTAATTTTAGGACGGAGGGAGTACTATATTTTTAAGACTAATTGAATGTTACATTTTTGTTTTGTATCACAGATAAAATTTTTTTGTGGGAAGAATAAAAGAGCTTTTAAACATTTTTTACTTCCTTTTAAAATGAAGTCTTTTACTATTTTTACTTAAAAAAAGATATATGTAAGATTTGAATGTTGGGTTGTGATCCACAATAGTCTCTGAAGCATCTTTGTCCTCATCCAGTGTTGTACGGAGAACTCCAGTAGTATTATTGTTGAGTTTTAAGTTTATATATTAAACGACATGCATGATTTAATTAGTGTTGATACTATGTCAAAAATTTTAATTTTTAAATAATGGTGATTGATAATGTTTAGTATGTGTCACACATTACAAATTAGTAATATTAATACTTTTTTTTACAAGTGGATATTTTAAATTAAATAGATAAAATTAATTTTTTTAAAAAATAAAAAGTAAATAAAAGCCTAATTTGGTCCGTTCCTGGTCCGATCTGAATTTTACCGGTCCGGTCCCAGTCCGGTCCTTATCTTATTTGGGTCGGTTCCTGGTCCAAAAAAGTGCCTTATTCGATGTCGGTTCAGTCGGGGTTTGGACGGATGGACACTCCTCCTATCAATGGTCCCAAGTGCTTACTAGGATGAGACAGGTCCTTATTTTTTGGATGCAATAGACTTTAGGAACCTTGCATTAAAGATGTTGTTTTATGCCATGTTTGGGAACTTAAACTTTGTTTTCAATTTCAAATTTGACCCCTTTTTTTACACAAACTTAACCCAAATTAGATGATCAGGAATCCAACAAATTGGAATTTGGAATCAGACTTAGACGATTTTTTTTTTTTGAAAAAAAAGTTCAATTACAAATTCACACTCCCCAATATAATTTGAATTCACAACCCCAAATTTTAGAATTGATGTCAAAGAATTCAAATGATTTCCTGATTTTCAAACACTACTTTAGAGTTGATGGAAAAACATCAACGAATGCCTCCAACCACGTATTGAGGGTTCTTGACTTCTTGGTCTTCAAGAGGACTAGAGGTGTCAAATCGATCGGTCAGATTAGTTTCGGGTTTGGTCACTTTGAGTTTAAATTATTTCGGGTTCGCGTAAGTTTGAGTAGAGAACTACATGTTCATGATCTAGTGTCATCAAATTCAGGTCGACTCAACGGGTTATGCTCCTAATTTATTTTTTAAAATTTTAAATAATTTTTATAATCTAGTGTCAATATTACGAACAAAAAAATTTAAAGAGTAAATTTCATAAATAGTCTCTAATTATAATTACTTTTACATATTTAGTCCCTAATGGTCCTCAATTGTTAAAAATTATTTCATATTCGGTCCTTTAGGGACTATATGTAGAAAAAATATTATGTCATATTTGGCCTAAAGGACTTTTAATGGAATAATTTTCAAAAATTGAGGACTATTTATGTACTATCTTAAAATTAAGGACTAAATTGGAAAATCACAAGTAATGAGAGACCATTTATGAAATTTAATGTAGAAATTTTGAAAAAAAGTAAGAAAATTATTAGATATTATTTAATTTTTGTACTATGAAAATATAAATTTATACATTAAAATAAAGTACTTAGAAAAAAAATATAATTATAATCTTGTTTTTATATCATTTTATTTCATATTAAAATGATACATTAACGAGTCGACCAGGTCTGGTTTTTTAGCAGGTCATAATGAGCTCAGTCGATTTCGGATTCGGCCAAAAAAACCTTTGTTCAAAACTTCGTATTTTCAGGTCGAATCTCGAATCAAAAATAGGTCGGGTCATTTTTTGTAAGGTCCAAAGACGACCAAGAAACATTCTAACAGAATAATTTGTGCTTTGTTTCAGTCCTTCAGAAGATTTTGTGACAACTTTTCACTACAGAACCCATGCGCCAGTGAGCATGGCCACATATACAGGAATGTCATCTAAACCACTAGGAAATACTCTCTCCGTCCCAAAAAGATTTACACGTTTCAAAAAAATTGTGTTCCACAATCCCTTACCCATTTCTATTTAAAAAAACCACTTTTACCCCTTACTTTTTCAAACCCTACCTATCACATCATACCTTTTTCCTAATAATCTTTACATCACATCCTACTTTTACCCATCACATCAAGGGTATTTTTGGAAAGTCAACACAAAATTATCCCTCCCTTAATTTCAACTTTAGTCAAAATGGGTAACACTTTATGAGACGGAGGGAGTATTGCTCAAACACACATCTAAAGTTGAACAATGGCAACAACGATTTGGCACCCCTTTGTCCATAACTGGGTGCCTCGCCATATCAGCTTGGGTGAAGAATGAAGATCAATGCCATTGACATATTCGCGTGATGGAGAGAGATCAGACCTTTGCATGTTTTGACTTTTCAGCTGTTCCCCAACAACGTAAACTTGACAAGGACAACTAAATCACAATATTGTAGTTGTCACTCTGTTTTCCTGTAAGAAAACAGATCTTGTCATTGGAATGGTTGAAGCTGCAACAAAAACTAATTCTATTCCATCAAACAAAATGTCTGGTAAGAGAGAAAAAGATGGACACGTATGCCGATGCAGAAAGAAGAAGATCATGGAGCAAAATTAAAAGACCAACACAGACAGTATTCAAAAGTTGATGTTCTATGATGCATGCATTCAATTCATTTAGAAGTGTTGAACTTGTCCACAAACAAGCCTTTTTTTGTGGCCTTGGGGGGGGGGAGATAAAATATAAATAATTGCTTTCCTAACCCAAAGCGAATACGAGGAATGTCAAGGCTTACTACCCCTATCAATTGACAAGAACAAGGGAAGAATACACCGGCCCATCAAATAAATCCAAAACCCAAAATGAGAAGGGTCAAAGCAACAAGCTTTTTCAAATAATAAACTGTGCATATCTCCAAGACTTTTTAACCTATTTATGGTGTTCAAAAAGATATGTTTCCACTTCCCTGGTAAGAATATTAAAATCCTTAAAATGACCTCTTGGTTCCAACTTCCAATTTCCTACTTTTATCATGGAGTTTTTAATTATAGTATGTGATATTAGTAGGGGCAAGGTTATATGGGCTATATTGTGTTCCCTTCCATATTTTTGTGCAGGTGGAGCCGGGGGTCTCTTGGAAACAGCCTCCCTACTTCCAAGTAGGGGCAAGGTCTGCGTACACACACCCTCCCCAGACCCTACTATTGTGGGATCCAACTGGGTTGTTGTTGTTGTTGTTGTTGTTGTATGTGATATTAGTACAATTATACTATCAGAGCATCCATACCACCAAATAACCTTAGTAGTGACTAAAGTGCATTGAAACTGCACAGCTTGCACTACTGACAGTAAGTTGCAAGAGATATCTATATTGCTCATTGTTGGTTTTCAGCATCAGGAAGGTGAGAATATTTTAAATTCGCTTTACCGGGGTAGTAGGGTAATAACTGGATAACAAGGATCAAATAAGTTTCAGGACAGATAGTGAAAACAGAAGACATCGCCAAACCTCTCAAATTTGATCACGGATTTGCCCTGGCATTTGTCATTGGCTCACAGTGATGCTTCTCATTATCATCAAGAGACTTCAACCTTACTTTGGTTATTGTGGAAGGAAGGCCGAACTTGACGAGTTGACATATATAGAAAACGCTTACATTGCATGCACCTTTTACAATAAGTAAAACAAACTCTTAGAAACAGACCCAGAAAGTTAGCAAAAAAGTGTAAAAAAACTTATCTAGCAAATCATTTTATACACAAATAGTTTGGTCAATACTCATAATAGTCCTAAATAATAAGTTAGACTGATCAAACAGAAATTTCTAATGCAGTTGAGAAGAAAAAGAACAAAAAGAGGGTTAAAACACAGTACGGGCAGTACAGTACTTGATCTGCCAAAAGCAACTTAAAACCTAGATTACAGCTTCACAAGCCAGACACAACAATAGTAGCACAAAATGGCAGGGGAATATCACATGCATTGTAATATACATAGAAAAACTTTTTTTTATTTTGTAAAACTGTTTCTCAGTCATGGGTCCCAACATCTCTTAGGTTTCAGATAGCATTACCAGAAAAGTAGTATCCATTGAATGCAAGTGAAACATAGAAGTATGTTCGATGAAGAAAAGGCTGTAGGTCACAAGTTTAGGTGATAAGACATGCGACAAGAAGGATAAGCAACAGACGACTAAAAGATATACGACTACATCCCAATATTTGCACACATAGCAATGATTATGTTAAAGGTTAAACTGCTAAGGAGAAGATAACCACGTGATGCGAGTATGCGAACCCTACGCGACTTGCCATGGTAACCGACACCCCAAGTGCATACTTCAACCATAAGATTTTCTTGAACAAGCAAATTATGAGTTTTGCACCTCTACACGATCCACCGTAGCAACACGAAAGGGTGATTTTACTAAGTAATCAAAATTAGTAGTTTACCTTAACTACTCCCTCCATCTCAAAAAAATTTCTCACTTTGATTTTCAGGGAGTTTCAGGAAGAAAAAAAAATTGAAAAGTGAAAACGATGTGCTTAGAATTGGTTAAGAGGAGAGAAATTTCTTAGACATAAATTATTTACTTTAAATGGAAAAATAAAGTTTTTTTGGGATAAACAAAAAAAGAAAAGTAAGAAGATTTTTATGGGAAGGAGGGAGCAACTAATAAACTCACAAGTATCTCTGAAACTCTCATAAGTTTCACAACCACAAGGGTGAAGACAAAGCAATCAATATTTCATTCAAATTCAAGATGTTAATTACTAAGGATTACATGCCTTTTTACATGCAAAACCACATAATTAAAGATATCAAATTCTATTAAAATTATCTTTAGTTAAATCAAATCTGAAGAAATAAAAATTATCAAATAAAATATTTTAAAATACCAATCATGTCTTAAAATCACCGAACATGTTAAAACATTATTTGGAATGTTTTGGATTTGATTTGGTGTGAAAAGGTTTAATTACAATTACTAAAACTAATTAAGTTTGGAAAATGCATGATAATTGCTCCAAAACCCCACCACCATAACAGGCGCCAGTTTTGTGATGTGCGGGAACTGGACTTCTGACCCTTGTGATGCTACGGGCTTTCTGCCTTATACAAGTGCCGGTTTGGGGGTGAACTGGCGCAGGTTTTCATTTACACCCCAATGACTTTCCCTATTTAGGCCTGAATGGCTTTTGGGCTGTTTGGATTGGACCTTGTACCTCTTGATTAATTCCAGGAGGTCCATTTTTGTGTTTCGTAAGTGATACGTCCGCAATCATCCAAAATATTGCAAATAAGTATTTCACCTAGTCAGACATCATTTTCGTGGAAAAAGAAAATTAACAAGCTTTTGTGGTTTATATCCCAACACAAAAAAAAGAAAAACATGTTTAGACAAAATTGAGGAAACACCCCTTCCAGATTTGTTTACCAGCAACCTCATATGGTTTTGTTCATCAATTTACATGACTTTTTCCAGATTTCAGCTTAGTCATACACTGCATTCTCTTGCCCCTAATTGCTTAGTGCCAAGACCATTCCTCACCCTTTTGGTTATATATACGAAGAACAGTAATGATGTCAGTCAAGAGCAGAAGAAACTAATTTCATACAGTACATCAGGTACCTGTTATCTCCTGAGATCTTTTGGTAAGTTCTGCAGCATTAGAGCCCTTGTTTTACAATTAGCTTTGAGGCCACTATGATGCATTTTTGTGTAAACCTTTGTAGCAAGATCAATCCTGCCTGCCAGACACATCCCCTGAATTGCAGCATTGTACAGAGATCCATTTGGTGCAGCAGACTAACAAAAAAAAACTTTAGTGTGGCTAAAGTAGTTGATCTTGTAGAATAGAACTATGGATGCTCTGGTGAGGAGGTGCAAGATGCTTCAAGTAGGGTGCAGGAGGAGGTGTAGAGGTAGACATATAAAGAGTTGGGGTGAGGTAATTAGATACTCCGCATGACTTATAGCTTCAAAAGCTAAAAAAGAATTTGACCTTAGATAGGAGCACATGAAGATCGAGGATTAGGGCGGTATGATAGGCTCTGGGCAGTGCTCTACCATTGTATAGGACTTGCTGCCTTTTGTTGTTGTATCTACATGTGTTTTTGTTTCCTTTGTGCTCCTCTTCTTCTTCTTCTTTTTTCCCTTGCTCTTTTTCTTTTTTCATTCTTTGTGTTCTTTTTGTTTTTAGACGGAATCTCTTGGAAAAAACCTCCTACTCTCCACTTATGGGTAAGTTACACCGTACGTTACAATAATTGATGGCTGCTGCACTTACCAAAGTTCCTGAATTCTTAATGAATAAAATTGAGTCATTTACTCTTTTTTGGTGGGGTTATACTCAATCTTTCTCTTTACCGTGGTTTCTTTCCCCCTTATTCTTCTTTTCTTATTTATTTGTTTTGAAATATTTTTATGTTTACTTGACCCAAGGATTTTTGAAATAAAAGCCTCTCTAACTTAACAGGTAGGGCTAAGGTCTATATACATCGAAAAATGAGTTTGATATCTATGTGAAAGAAAACTAGTAACAAAATACTTTGGTAGCATGCTGAGGCTTACATTTAGTATCTTATCAACTTCATTCCAAAGGGAACCCCAGATGCAGCTTCTCATCACAGACAGCATAGTGAAAAGGTCAGGAGAACATTTTTGGTGAACCATGTGATTGTAAACTTGCAGTGCAACCTTTGGCTTTCTTGCAGCCTCACAAGCACCAATAACAAGATTATATGAGGACGTAGAAACCGAACCACCAGAAGCCTCCATCTCCCATAGTAGTTGGACTGCTTTCTCCCATAATCCAAGTCTCTGGCAAGAGATCATAATTGTATTGTACATTTGAAAGTTTAGGATGTGGGGTTGCTGTTTCCTGATCTTCTCAAAACATTGAAGTGCATCACGATGATGACATGCCTGATTAAGAGCACAAAGAAGTGAGTTCCATGTGTATGCATCTGGCACATGACCCAGAGACTTCATGAGACCAAAAACCTTGAATGCAAGCTTAGGTTTCCCAGCTTTCCCGAGTGAATTAATCACTGCATTGCATGATTTTGCATTTGGTTTCAGGCCGCCATTCAACATACTTTGAAAGACAGAAAATGCCATATCGAAATCCCCCTCCTTCATACATGCTCCAATCATTGCTTGCAACACATCATCTCCCGGTGTTAACCCGTTTTGAACCATCTCACTATACGCATTGAGAGCTAGCTCATACTTCCCACAACGGACAAATAAGCATATTAGTATGCTATACGTGACTGTTGTCCCTATAAGGCTTTTGTTTTGCAAAATTCTCCAAAATTTCTCAGCCTGAGCCCAATTGTTTAGTTTTCCAAAAGCTGATATCATTGTGTTATAGACAATGACATCAAATGTGTTACTAGCACAATCATTTTTGCATAATTCTTCAAACATTTTTAACGCAGCATCACTCCCCCTATCTTCAGCAACTGCCTTAAGAATTAAACTGTACGTGTGAGGAGTGGTCATCTTACCTTCCTTCAAGAATTCAAAGACCTCCAAAGCATCATCAAGCATTCCATTCCTCAAGATGCAGGAAAGAAGGGAATTGCAGGCATGTAAACTAGGCTTGAGACCTGTAAACATCATTGACTTATAAAGTGATAGTGCAGCCCTAACCGTGTTTGATCGGCTAAGTTTCAAGATCCTTTTCGATAATATCTCTTCATTTCTTTCATCCAAGTAATATACCCCACTTTCGCTTAGATTAGCAGCCCCATCACGAGCATACAGTTCTGCACATACTGAACTCCTAAAAGGAAGCAAATTTTGCTCAAAAGGGTCTTGATGCCATACCTGTTTTTCATTATTATCAGGAGCGCACCCCTCTTCAAAGAGTGAGTCAAATTCAACACATACAGCATTACATTCTTTGAACCTAATTACACATTTCACACTCAGAATCCCTAACAGGCCGTTAGAAACAGGCATTTCAAGGCCAGTGATTCTCAATTTCGACCTCTTTTTGGGTCTGGAAGCAACAAGAGAAACTCCATTACTAACAACCACTTTACTTGTGAGGCAACCCTTCGAATACAGGAGTGGGGTACAGTTCTTATAACCATGTAACGCAAAAGGATACCTAAGTGATTCTACCATATTCTATGAAGAAAACACAAGCCAAACCTGCGGATAAATAGCGTGTTGACGGGAGATTTGTCTGGATTCCGACGGAGATAGCACAGGCGATGTTGGTTCGAGGAATTTCCCAATTGAAGAATGGGATGGCTCTCAGGGGGGGATAAGGGGGAATAAGATGTGGCCTGTGGCAGGAGAAATGAGAGAAATTGATTAAAGTGATGGAGGAATGAATAGAAGAGGGAAGATTAGAGAGGAATATTGTTAAAACATTTTTATTGGTGTATTACATTTAGACCTGACAATCGGGTCAATCGGTTCGGTTCCGGTTTGGGTCTTTTCGGTTTGGGTCTCATTTGGATATATGTTATAATCGGTTCGGGTCGGTTTGGTTCGGTTCAGTTCGGTTCCGGGTTTATTTCGGTTTGACTGGTTTTCGGTTTCGGTTCAGTTTCAGTTCGGGTTTGTATCGGTTTGGATTTGTATCGGGTCGGGTTTATATCGGTTCGGGTTTGTATCGGTTCGGGTTTGTATCGATTCGAGTTTATATCGATTCATGTTTTGTATCGATTTAGGTTTATATTAATTCAGATATATTTTAAATATTTACTAATAAATCAATAATATCACATAATAAATTTAATCAATTTATGATATACTCCGTACTTATTTTTTTATTTAACACGGATGTACATAAAATTTAATCAATTTTGGGTCTAATCGGTTCCAGGTTTAATCGGGTTCGGGCTTTATCGGTTCGGGTTTAATCGGTTCGGGTTAAATCGGATTCGGATCTGAATCGGGTCTAAATACATTCAGTTCGGGTTCGGATCATTTCGGGTGTTCGATTCTATTTCGGGTCTTCAGTTTTCGGGTCAAATCGGGTTCGGTTCCGAGTTATTCGGTTCGGGTTATTGCGTTCGGGTCAATTTTGCCAGCTCTAATTACATTTTTAATTATTTTTTGTTTTGTACTCCGTACATCAATAAAGAGATACTCCCTACCATGTAAAAAAGGATGCTAAGAAAGAATAGAGGGTGATAGAGTGTGATGAGAAAAATTGAAAAGGAAAATAATTGGATATTGAAAATACATTATGTGGGAGAGAATAGAGGGTAATAAATAGTGATGTTGTTACATTTACACGATTCTTACCAAATGGCTTCTTTATCAGGAAATTAGGAATATTTACTCATTACCCTTTTTAATATTTAAAATACAACAATTGACTTAATTTACTTTATTTATTACACGTTATCTATCTCTCAAATATTATTTATTCCACTTTGGTTTTTTTCTATGATATTAAATATCATGCGAGAAGTATATTTTCTTTATTCTTGAAAAAATATTGCTTTAAATTTTATTTAGAATCAACAAAAAATTTTGTTCCACCCGTGGCACGGGTTCAAATATTAGTTAATAAAATAGCAAAGGCATCGGTTGTTTAAAAACAACCGATGCTAATACTCTTTTTTTAAATTAATAAAATAGCAAAGGGATCAGTTGTTTAAATAACTGATGCTAATACTCTTTTTTAAATTAATAAATTAGCAAAGGCATCGCTTGTTTAGAAACAACCGATGCTAATATTCTTTTTTTAAATTAATAAAATAACAAAGACATCGGTTGTTTAGAAACAATCGATGCTAATACTCTTTTTTTAATTAGTAAAATAGCAAAGGCATCGTTGTTTCCAAATTGATGCAATTGAATTGGACCAATTGCATCGCTTATATTTACATCGGTACAAAACAATGCTAAAGGTATAAAACAACTGATGCCTTTGCCATTTTATATACTAGTGCCATTAGTATGTTATTGTATGTTCTGGTCAAGCCCACACGGATTTCTTTGAAAGCACATTCTCAAAAGGCCACATACTAATGGAGTTGGTTAACAATATATATTAAGTCCGTATATGGTACAGCCAGTTAAACCCGAAGTAAGGTACAGTCGGGTCGTGCCCATTTTGAAGTAAGTGTTCATCTGAAATAACATATGTAAAAAACGATCTATACGAAATAAGTACCCATTCTTGCACAAACATAAGTGTTCATCTGAAATAACATAGTAGCCACTCTGGAATAATGTAGTACTACCGTTTATGAATATAAAAATGATCTATACGAGCATTCTAGTCACTAGATATATCTATGGGCTTACCTTGAAGCCTAATGAAGGTTTTGGAAATTTTCCGGTGATACTTCCTGCGGCAACTAACTATTGCAGAATGATCTCCTCCTTCTCATGAACATTATGACACTAAGTTTATTCTGTTTGGTGGAAAATGAGAAGAATGAGTTCTTTTTTTGTAGGGATGAAGAGGAGGAAGAAGACAATGTTGTGTAGGAATTGATTCGCAATAGGCTGAGTGGAGGAGAAGGTGTCGTTCTCTTATTAAAGTGCAACTTAATATTCTATACTCATCTACGAAGAATAAAAAACTCTTATTAAAGTGCAACTTAAACATAATGAAATTAAACTAAACTGTCTGTATAAATTTTTTATTTAATGAAGATATATAAAAAGATTATTATTTTTATAAGATATTACTTCGTAGTATATATGTTCGGTTCGGGAATTTCGGTATGGGAAGTAACCTCGAACCGTTCCCAAATACCGGACCGACCATTCGGTTCGGTACGGTTCGGTTCGGTTTTATTTCGGTACTTTATTGGTTCGGTATTTTTCGGTTCGGTATTCTCGGTTTTTTCGGGAAATATCGGGATCGGTTCGGTCCTTGCTCACCTCTGTCGTCATTCCCGAACGGCGAACGACGATAGTGGAGTCGGCTGCGATTCAGTCTGATATTATACGCCTCGCCCAGATTAGGACTAAAATGGTCCCAATCGGGATATACTTTTTGGTCCAACTTTCTCTATATTAAAATCATATTGCATCGTTGCGATCAGACAATCAAACTCTACACAACAGTATAATTTTCAAAACTAACTCACAAACTTTATAAATTACTTATTTTTGGGCCTTTCAGTGAATAATTAACTATTTTGATAGACCTATTTTCGGGGCGTTAGATACACCGCGCCAACTAAATACACTCCATGATGTGTAGTTACGTTATTATTCAAAAAAATTATATTTACTTTTTTTAAGTTAAAACAAACATTATAAATATAGTTTTAGAATTATCAACCGCTTATCTTATTATGTAACTTTTTGAAAAAAATTATATGCATTTTAAAACTTACTTTAAAATATTTTGAAGCTATCATTTTTATTATTAATTGATTAAAATAAAATAACTTTTATTATTGTTAAATTTGATGACCAATAATTTTGTATAAAATTTCCATTTCTAAGTATTATACCAATATGTATTTTTCTATTCCAATTTTTTTAATACATATTCTTATTTTAAAAAGTAGATTATGTAAGTTTTATTATTATTTTTAAAATACATAAAGCTTTATATAAAATTTAAAATTAAACACCATTTTCCTTTTTATTGCTTTTCAAAAACAAAGTTTTATTTAAAATTTAATAAATGTGCATCATTATTAACACTACAACTTTTATTTTGAAAAAAAAAAATAATCTATCGTACTATTAAAAGGATTTAGATAATGCATACTAATATATATTAGAAAATTAAATAAAAAACTAAATATTCTAATTTAGAATCTTATTTAATCATTGTGTTACGGAGTAAAGAATTTAGAATATATATAAATCTGTGTGAAGCACAAGGTTGAATATAGATTGGAAAGTAGCAGGGTGAGATTAATATGTGGGGTGAATTGAATTCATATATGGTTTAGTCAGTTGTACCATATATAAAGTACACACAGTCCTCATTTTGAGGCAAAGTAGTACTCATTCTCTCATAAAACATAAATATTCATTTTGAAATAACTTAGAACTCACTTTGAAATAACATAGTACTTATTCTGAATTAACGCAAATTTTAAATTCACACATTTGTTCAAAACAATTATAATATTCAGTTATGAATAACGTAGTTTTTATTTTGAAACACAGTAGTGCTCATTCGCAAATAACGTAGTGCTCATTCTTAAGTAACCTTCAGTTCATTCCCTTCACATCTGGAAAATATAGTCTAATTAATCTTACCATCATCATCTTCATAACATCTCTTTGTTGCAGAATGGACGAGACATCTTTATCACCGTAGACCGCAGTTAGGCTTTCCTCAGTCGCCTTCATCATTCATCTTCATCGATCTCGCCATGCTTCCTCGATATCGACATCTTCATCACCATTTCCGCAGCCGTGCTTCCTCGATCTCGCCGGATCGACCCAAGAAGGTCTTGATCTCTGCTCTTCTCCTCAAATCAGGCGACCTCCTTAGCGATTTCACAACAAAATCAAGTTGGGTCTACTTTTCCTCTCCAAACCGCACATCAGATTTCACATAAATTTTAAGCCGGTTGTACGTGAAGAATTGTACAGTCAGCTGTATGGTATAATTTATGAGGTGAATTTAATATTTTGGTGGGGTATGACTATCACCACCCAAATGTAAATTAATACTTTAAAGAACTATAATTAAACAAAAATTGATAAAATTACTCCCTCTCACCCATAAATATCGATACAATTACTATTTTGAACTTTCAATAAATTTTTTTTATTTTCTGTGTTTTTTTATTTTGATAAATAAAATATTATTGTCACATCTCTTTTTCAACATTTTTTTATATAGTTTTGGAATATTCAATTCATACTTTTCATTTCTATAGCCATTTATAAATAAAATTATTTAAAAAAAATAAGATTTTGTATAATATTCAAAATGAGGCTTTATTTTTGAGATTTTGTATACTTTTGTAGTCCTTTAATATAATATTTGAGAGTTGATTAAATTAGATGATGACACGTGTACTCAATGAGAGTTTATTTTATTGACAAATCAGCTTACACGCGTCATTCTCCCGTGCGTTTTCCAAGCGGAAGAAGAAAAGGAACTAGTATTTTGACCCGTGCTATGCACGGGGTCGAAAGAAATTTATGTCGATTCTGAATTTATTTCAATGAAATTTATTTTTCAAAATAAAGAAAATATATTGCTCAAATGATTTTTAATACTACAAATGAAAAAAGCCAAAGTAAATTAAATAATATTTGAAGAACAGAATGTAGAGTTAACAATGTTTATTTTAATACCAAATTTTCTGAAAAATTTTAAGGTATACAACATTTTTGGTATGACTGCAAGAATTTTTATTGTCATCTAGAACTAATATTTTTAATCATGTCTTTGTCTTCACTCATGAAACAGCAAAATATAGTTGACCATGTGTGAACACTGACTTGGTTAAAAATAATCCCACATATGACAATGTTTGACCTTGACTTTTGTTGATAGTTATAGCAAAACATGAGGTGATCGAGAATTATCTTCTTTGGAACTTCAAGGGTAGCCCTAGATTAGATGGTACCAAATTCATTCTAGGGGTGTAAACTTTTTCCCCGACTCGATTTCCCAAAATCACAATTGCACCGATAACATTATTTCGCAGCTCTTGAATGATTAATCTTGTCCCATTACACAATCCTGATGTTTGGTCAATGTTCCTCAATAGCATAATCGGTACCCCTTTTTTCAAGACTATTTTCTTGTTTGGGATTCCCAAACATTTGATTTCGTTCAAAAACTCAACTGTTATCCAATCTCCATCAACACCTACATCTGCTTCTGCTTGGCACGAAGAATCAGAACTCAAGTAATCCTTTTCATCACCAGGAATGAGGGACAAAACAAATTCATTTATCATTTCAACTACTTCGAGAGTTGGTGCCAATAGTGCTCTATCCTCAAAAAAGAATAATTTTTCATATTTTTAAACATAAGTCATTTCCCAATATAAGATTTAAACTTTTTCAAATTTTTCATTTTTCATTTTTCAAATTTTCCATTTTTCATTTTTCATTTTTCAAATTTTTCATTTTTCATTTTTCAAACTTTTTCCCAATTATGGAATTTACTCTTAAAAAAAGTAAATTATGGAAACCCCAATTATTTGATAACAGAGGACTAAAGATGGAAATCCCCCTGTTATAAAGGACCAATTATGGAATTTACTCTTAAAAAAAGTACACATATTTTTATCTTTTCTTAGAGTGTTCATTTTCACATGGAGAATTTGTTAAATCCTTCTAAAATTGACATCTAATTTTAAATTTTGTATAAAACTTTATTTATTTAACATAAATTAATTTATCTATACTAACGATTTATATATGAAGATAAGAAAGTTTTTCAATGCTCATTAAAAAGTAACCATATAAATTTTAAATACAAAAATTCTGGTCACTGAAATATCCCGTTTCATTTTGTTATTTTAAAAAATTCAAAAATGTTATGCATCAAATTACCTTAAAACAATAAAACAAAATTAAATGTATTAAGATAAAACAATATTTAAAGTGCATACCTTTTCTATCTTTTTTTGTTGAAGTATTCATGTTCTCATTTCTCTTGCATCTCTAGCTGATCTCGTCCATGTATCGTCAACTTGAGTTTCCATAGCCACAATTGAAATTGAAAAATAGGATGCTCCTACCACCAATCCTTTTAAAAACAAAAGGCTGAAGTTGAATTAACGATTCTCCGCTTATTTATTGCATAATTAATTCTGAATGCCTATGTATTGAAATGGAAAATGAAAATGGGTGATGGATGTCACATTTCAACTCATTATATATCTCTTTTTATAATAGGATTTTGATCCAAGTATATAAGAGATTCCATAAATTTGGATATAAAAGTGAGCAATTTAACTCATTGCCATTTAGATATATAAGTAAGGAATTCAAAATAATATTGGGTCCATTCTAGATATAACGAATTTCTTACTAAAAATAAACGAATAATATTACTGATTATCCAAGATACATAATTAACGATTGCCATATATACGTAAAGGGATCCAAAATAATATAAGTATTATCCAACATACATAATATAAGTAAGGTGATGAATAATATACTCGTGATCATAATTTTCAAATTTAGTACTATTTAGGATTGTTTCTTAATAATATTTTTCGTAATTTTTGTCAATCACCATATGTTAAGGAAGTAATCTATTCTCGGCTATGCATGAATCATTTTCTAACGCACGATCGTATTAGGATAGTTTCACATTTAATTATTTACTCCATCCGTCCATAAAAGAACTTCCCGGTTTGACTGGGCACGCATACTAAGAAAAAGTGTAAATGTGATTGACTTTCCCAAAACACCCCTCAACCTCTTCCTCTTCTCTTCCGTACTCCAGAACACTTCTCTCCCCTAGTTTTCTGTTTTTGGTTGACAAACCAATTTAGCCGCCCACCAAAGAGCATCCATAGGCGAGGCAAGTGTTAGCCGCCGACAAGGTGGCAGCAATCGGCACCGAAAGATACGATTGTGGCAATTGCGATGCAAATCAAGGCAACGACGACCGACGACGCATCCAAAGCAGCGGCAAAATAAATATTTACAATGATTAACGGTAGATCTGCGCAATCCGATCCGACTGCCACCTTGCTGCTCCAATGGTATTTCCGACTGCCGACTCATTGTTACACTGTGTCACCAATTGCTGCTATAAATCTGAATTAACAAAAAAATCAGATAGATCTAAAAATGGAGGAAGAAGGCGAGTTGAGAAGAAAAAGAAGGAGATGAACTGATGAAGAAAAAGAAGAAGAAGAAAGAAGAAGACTTTGTGGTTGAGATTAGGTGGAGAACAAAGGAAGAAAAAGAGATATAAAGAAGATAAACGACTTTGGAGATAAGAAATGTGTGGCCTGTGGTGTGGATGTTGAAATTCATTTTAAGGGCAAGGAGGACATTTCACACATAAAAACATGCCTAAAATAGAAATGGGAAGATAATTTGTGGACGGACAAAATAGGAAAGTGGGAAGTTCTTTTATGGACGAAGGGAGTAATTACCTTTTGAATTTTAGGAATGACTTTATTATGGTGAGAATTCCTTGGTAAAGAACTAATATATGTAGCATGGTCCTAAAATTCTATTTAAATTAATTAAAAATATTATTTTTTTATTTTTAAATAGTATTTATATTTCTTCATATTTATTTTTAATTTTTTATATTATCATCGTAATTGGAGTTCGTATTGTTGTAATCTGAATACATATATTTACATATAATATTATTAATTATCCAAGATACATAATTAAGGATTGACATATATAAGTAAAGAGATTGAAAATAATATTAGTATTATCCACGATACATAATATAAGTAAGGTGATGAATAATATACTCGTGATCATAATCTACAAATTTAGTATTATTTAGGATTGTTTCTTAATAAGATTTTCCGTAAATTTTGTTAATGACCATATATAAGTAAGGTGATCAATAATATATACTCATGGAATTAAGACAAATAAGTAAGAAATCAAAAATAGTATTGGAATTTCTATTAGTATAGGTACTCTATTGATTTCAACCTATATATACACGAATTTCTATTAATAAATCTCTATTACTTATTAATTTAAGTATGAAATTTATAAATATGAAAGTAAGATAAAGAATTAATATATGTAGCATGGTTCTAAAATTCTATTTAAGTTAAATGAAAATTATTGTATTTATTTTTTATTTTTTGAATAGTATTTATATTTTTTCGTATTTATTTTTAATTGTTTATATTATCCTCGTAATAGGAGTTCGTATTGTTGTAATCTGAAAACATATATTAACATATAATATTATTGATTATCCAAGACACATAATTAAGGATTCCAATATATAAGTAAACGGATCCAAAATAATATTAGTATTATCCAACATAAATAATATAAGTAAGGTGATGAGTAATATANATTCTATTTAAGTTAAATGAAAATTATTGTATTTATTTTTTATTTTTTGAATAGTATTTATATTTTTTCGTATTTATTTTTAATTGTTTATATTATCCTCGTAATAGGAGTTCGTATTGTTGTAATCTGAAAACATATATTAACATATAATATTATTGATTATCCAAGACACATAATTAAGGATTCCAATATATAAGTAAACGGATCCAAAATAATATTAGTATTATCCAACATAAATAATATAAGTAAGGTGATGAGTAATATAGTCGTGAATCGTGATCATCATTTTCAAATTTAATTAGTACTTTTTAGGATTGTTTCTTAATATATTTTTTTGTAAAAAATAATATTCTAATTTCCATTAATATAGGTACTCTATTGATTTTAACTCTTATTATACACGAATTTCCACAATAAACCTTTGTAACTTATTATTTAAGTATGTAATTTTTAAATATGGAAGTAAGATAAATGATTAATATATGTAGCATGGTCCTAAAATTTTATTTAAATTAAATGAAAAATATTATATTTGTTTCTTAAATAGTATTCATATTTTTCATATTTATTTTTAATTATTTTATATTATCATCATAATAAGAGTTCGTATTGTTATAATCTGAAGGAAAGAATTTCGTTGAAGGTCAGTGATTATCGCGTAGAAAATCTGCGGTCAATTGTTTACAACAGGAGATCCGCTGGTGCATCGTATATAATTTATTTCCGCTAGTTTACTTGGATATTACGTGGCGTGCTGACATGTTTAAATTTTGCCACATATACATCCCAAATGAATTTCTGTGCATCCGAGTCTCCTTTATTATATTAAAGGATTTCGCCCTTCTTCATCGTCCCAATTTCAGCTGAAGGCCTTTCCATCTTCATTGCGAGAAATCTGCGATTTCCTCAGCCCTTCGCCATCTCCTTTCCTTTTGAATGTCGACCAAAATTAGCTGAAAAAACCGCAACATCAGCTTTCCTTCACCAACGATCGCAAGTTTTCTTTCTCAATTCGAATCGGTAATAGCCAATTGCTCGCAATTAGAACCCTATTTCCGGTTTATCATTATTCTTTCCATATATCAAGTATTCTTTCCTTCATTCAATTTAATCCATGGCCTCAAGTGTTAATTTTTTTATTACTAGTACTTTAACCCGTGCCATGCACGGGTTTGAATGAAACTTTTGTCGGTTCAAAAAAATTTTCTCAATGTAATATTTTTCCTATTAAAGAAAATATATTTCTAACACAATTACTCCCTCCGTCCGGATTTTAAGTTCTCATTCTACGCTTTTCTCCGTTCAGAAATAAAGTTCCCATTCTACGTTTTTATCAACACTCTTCCAAAAATACCCTTTTCATTAATTGGCAATCCCTCTTTCATTTATCTTCCTTCTTTTTATCTCTCTCGGCCCTTCTCTCTTTCACTTTATCTTCCCCATCCAGCCACTTCCTCTCTTCTCTTCCTCACATTCTTCTTCTTTAATTCTCCACCCCCTTCTATCACATCCCTCTTTCTCTCAAATTGGCTCCTCCTTTTCTTCTTCTTTTTCCCTTTCATTCCCTGGGTGTTCTTCTCAGATCTGTAGTAGATCTATGCAGATCTACACCATCATTATCAACATCGTCATCATCTTCTTCTCCTCTTTCTCCCCTTCACTTCCTTTCTATTTCTCCCAGGTATGGCGATGGTGGCAGCTCGAGGTGATGGTAGGGTTGACGGTGATGACGGCGGGGCTGAGTCGATGGTGGTGGGGGTTGGCGGTGACGGTGAGGCTGTGGCGATGGTGGTGGGGTCGGCGGTGATGGTGTGTCTGGAGTGATGGAGGTGGGGGATAACGAAGATGGATGGCTGATTGTGATGATGGACTGACAGCCGCGGCAGGGGCAGCGATGGGGCTGGTGATGGTGGGGGTTGGGGCGGTGGGGATAGGGATTGGGGTGGTTGTGGTGTTGAGGGTTGCAGAGGTATTTTGGTGTTGGGGCAGGGGTATTTTGGGCAATGTGGTCCATTAGTCAACTTCCACTAAAAATGAGCAAAAGTCAAATCGGGAACTTAAAATCCGGACGGAGGGAGTATTTAATATTGTAGACATTAGCATCATAGTAGAAAAAACAATATACTCCATACTAATTAACATTTTGTAATGAAAATTCTTATACACGACTGAGGTGAAATTTATCAATTCTTGTTAGCTTCCACCTAGCTTCCTGGCTTCACACTCAACAAAAACTGAGGTGAAATTCATCAATTCTTTACACAACTATTTCTTTTGTTATTTATTGATCAGTGCATACTTTTTTCCACATGTATTTCAGTTGCAAAGAAAATACACATTTTATGTGTTTCATCAAAGGTAATATTCTTTAATGATCATTACTTATTACTCTTTTCAGATTAAGTTTTTACTACATTGGTTTGGGATGCAAAGTTTGTTCGGTAATGTTGCAGTGCTCATCTCCTTTGAGAATTTGCATTAATTGAAGTATAATTTATTACTCCGTAGTTTATTGGGATTCTGCTTTCTTTTTACTTGGTTTTTTCCCTCAACACTTTTTTAAGGTATAAAATCTTTTTTTTCAATTTTTTTCTTATAGGGGATTTGGTCTCACTATCTCCTTTTCTACTTAATAAAACACTCTTTTCTTACACACACACCTTGGTACATCATAGTGAAAAATGTATATAGATAAAATTTGCGAGTCATTTATTCATGATGATAAAATTTGCGAGTCATTAACTTCTGGGGTTTCGTCTTGCAGAATTTGATTGAAGATTTTGTAGAAACAAAGAATAATCAATTTGAACGAAATAGGGATGACTGTCAACAAAAGAATGAAAGAGGTGGAACATTGTGATGGAGACGGGGATGAGTCGAGCAAGAAGATGAAGATCGTTATAATAGAGAAAAATTAGAAATATATATTTTATGTTAGCTTGAGAGTATTTTTTTTTTGGATTGATTTATGTGTCACATATTTTTTTTTTGTGGATTTATTTATGTGTCACACAGTTTATAATCTATAATTTTAGGATTGTTTGTTGTTTAGTTTTTAAAATACAAAATTTTGTGGCATTTGGTATTATAAAAAAGATTGCATGTTTGAAGAATATATACTCAATTCAATATCCTTACTCATATAGTATACTTTTACCATTTATATGCTTCATATTTTTATAACATAGATTAATGTTATTTTCTTAAATTTTCAATTTCATTGTTTTTTGTTTTTAAATCAATTTATAAAAAAGGTACTAATTATGATTTTTTCATTTCTTTTCATTTATAAAAAAGGGAGTTGGATTTACTAATATCAATTAGGATTAAATAGTTTGAACATGAAAAATTTGAGTAAACTAATCCTACGTACTGAAATATTTTTTTAATGTTTAGTATGTACTCCGTATGTTTTTAATATGTATAATATTTTTTATTCTTACCTACTCAACATCTCCCATTAGAAAAAATAATAGAAATGTTTGGTATCTACAATTTTTTTATTTGTAAAGATATTGGAAAAAAAGAAAAGTTAGTAAATAAAAATTAGGAGTAAGGTGTTATATGTTTTCAAGATGTAAATGTATAAAAATTAAAAAAAGAATGTTATAGGTTTTCGGTATAACATTAGTTTCATAAATTTATATTTTCTTTCTTTTTCCTTTATAAAAATATCAAATATTAGTCAGATACTAAATACGTTTTTTCATTACTTTCCATTATATTTTCTCTCTTCTCATATTAAAAAAACGAGATAGTCGGAATATTAGAGAGTATTAATTGGTGGTAAACAATTTAAGCATAAAAAATTAAAACACCCTCCAATTACAAAGCATCAACATTTAACGAAATTGTTTTAGTTCTAGACTTTTTTTCAAGTCATATTTTCAAGCTCCTGCACATATAAAAGAGAATCAACAACTATAATATACTATGCATAAAAAAAATCTTTAAACATACTTAAATAGGATGCCCTCTAGCTCGAATATATTATCACACTTTACCTTTTTCTGGGCAACCTATGCAATTTTGGACAACAAGTAAATAACAATAATATTTATTTAACTAAGAGAATCACCAAGTATAATATACTATGTATAATGGTACATGGTAAATCGTTGAAGAATTGCGAAGAAATGTTATCGGTGCAATTGTTGTATTAGGAAATAATGTCGGGGAGCAAGTTTACATACCCCGGATTAATTTGGTACCGTCTGATCCTTGATTACCATTGAGGTTTCAAAGAAGACAACTTTATGTTTCAGTTTCAAGAGTGAAAACAAAGAAGAGATTGAAATTTTTAGGTTTTGATGATAGCGGTAACCCTTGCAACAAAACAAAAAATATTGTATACCCTCATGTTTTCCAAAAGATTTGGATTTAAAATTAGAAATATTTGCTCTAAATAACACTAAAACTTAAGTCATTTCTCTAAATAGCACTTAAATTGTTTTATTCCTTAAATAGCACTTAAGAATGTTCATAATGTCCAGTGATGATAAATATTTACTTGAATAATGACTAATGGATAATGACTAAAAGTGCTGCATTGGAAAAACACATGTGATACTATTTAGAGAAAGTCATCATGTTTTAGTGCTATTTAAGTAAATTCCCCTTAAAATTATACCTTTACATGTTCTTTTTGTTTTGTATATACTCCGTATGAATATGAATTTCGGATATCACATATTTATGGTATATCGCCCATTAAATTTTACAGTTCGATATTATAATTCGCTTTATTTATTATCATTAACTAAGAAGAAAAAAAATAAGCGAGTAAAAAAACAAATCGTTTCACCCCGTGCGTGGCACGGGACGCACGGGTTAGAATACTAGTAAATAGTAATGGAAAATAAGAAAACTAATTCAAATACTCTCTCCGTCCTAAAATTAACTTCCCATTTGACTTTTCACGGTCTCCAATGCGGTACTTTGACCATTAATATCTCCATTTTTATATGAATATATATTATCAAAATAATATATTTCAAAACTATGTTTCAAAATGAATCTATTGATACTAAATTTATATAAAAATTCAATATATATTTTCCGTAATATATAGTCAAAGTTTTTAAACTTTGACTACAAAAGTCAAAATGAAAAATTAATTTTAGGAGGGAGCAGTCCTTTTGGAATAACCTGCTTTGCAATCCGACCATCCATCGCTGGTGATAAAATCACGAAGAGAAAAGAGAACAGAGATGGCAACCATCTTCTCTTCTTGTTTTCTCTTCCCTTCTCCGAACGATTCGAGCCAGCTTCATCCACTCCGCTGTCTCCGATTTCAGAGTCATTGCCGTATTGCCACCAATTTGTATTCTCCACGCCCGTTTGCGTTGAATAGGGTTTCGAGGACAAAGAGGATAAAGTCCTTAGCGGAGGAGGGTTCCTTTGTTTCAGTGGGTGAGGGTGAAGGCGTTGTTACGGTGGAGGATGCATCTTCGCCGCCGCCTGTTTCTGTTTCCGTGGCTCCTTCTGACGTCCTCACCATGTTTTTCCGCGTATTTTCTCTGAAATTTTTTCCTCTTTGTTTGAGAGTGCTTCAATTGTAAGTTTTAAATGTTTTTGGATTCGCAGGCCGAAGGAACCATGGTAGAAGCAGACATTCCTAAGGTGACCAAGGCTTTAGAGGTACGAAGTGAATTTATTTTCATGTGTTTAGACTTTAGTTAGAAGGCACTCTGTTGGCGAATATATGCGTGCATAAATGTTCAGAACTGTAATGTAATGTGGATGAACTCAAGTAGCTAAGAACTATTAACAGTATTTAGTGACTCTTGTCTCAGTTTAAGAATTGCTAGTGCAAAAACTGTTTGCACTACTTTCACCTTTACCCTTATTATACTTATTGGTGCTTGAAGTTTGAAGGAATGTTCACTATTTTTAATTGGCAACACATTGCGGCAGTAAATGCCATTTCATTTGCATTACCATCTTTTCTGTTCTTAAAACATCTGCAGGAAAAAGAAGGTATAGCAGATCTCGAAGTTCATGTTTTCGAGGGCATGGCAAGTGTGGAGGTGAGTTTTCATACTTTTGCTGTTTCTTGCATCTGTTAAACATATACTCCCTCCATCCCATAAAGAAGTTCCTATTGCACTACTCACACGATCAAACCATTTCACAAAGTGATCTACATTAGTGAAATTATGATCCTCATTCTGGTGCACATGCAATTTTTTTTCTTTGTGGCTCTGTTACTGGACCAAGGCTATGTTTGGTAATACACTTGGTTGCTCTCAGAGAGCCATAGTAGCATTGTTTGGTAAAGTTGTGCAAAAACTCCAATGAATGATTTTTCTTCATGGTTAACATCTTGAAATTTTCTTTTCCTGTGTAGCTGACAAAGCAAACAACAATGCAAGCAACAGGGGTGGCCTCAGGTTTTGTTGAGACTCTACTAGGCTCAGGTTTTAAGTTGCGAACATTGAATTTGAGCTTTCAGGATGGGGAGGGTCTGCAGTAGGCCTTATGTCTCTATTCTATTTTATTTTTCATCTGACACAAATCGGCACGAGAATACGCATACACGAAGAGTCGAAGAGTATGCCCTTTCTCATTGCTGCCAGCTTAATGGGGCATTTGTTGCTAGTATCATAGTTGATAAGGTACATATCGTGTTGGGTTACTGGAGTGTTTCACAGCCGGCATTTTGTATTCCTATTTTGTAATTGTCTTGTTCAAACAGTTCTTTTTCTTTTTGGGTATACGTTGTTTGATTTCTTAAAATTTCCTGCCATTGAAGGATGCTGCATTCAGGTTTTTAAAAAAGGTTAACTCATGGTTGGATTATGTATACCACTTTTAAATCAAATTGGTGTCTTTTCCCTTCAACATTTGCCGAAGCATGGGCAGTGTGGCAGGGCTTAAGTTAGGCTTGGAAGAGAGGTTTGCGAAATGTGATTCGTTCGAGTGTGTTGAATGGATTCATGGTAGAGGCTCCACAAGAGGTTTGGTACGGCACGTGGTTGAGGCATGTCAGAGTTGGATGGGAGAGATTGGGATGTCACCATCTGTCACATCCTAAGGGATCAGAATAATCTCACATCCTAAGAGATCAAAATAAAGTCGCAGACTTGCTAGAATGGGGTATGACAAGGCACTGGTTTGGTGAGTGTTCGAGGTCCCACCGAATGGTGCGGGTCAATTGCTCGACGAGGATAATATGGAATTTTATTGGTCTAGGCGTGTGACAGTGAGAAACTTTTTTGAGTTTCTCGGGTTTTTACTCCGTGGAATTTGAAAGGAAAGGAAAAGAAAATAAGAAATATTATTTCTTGTTTAATTAGAGAGGAAAAAATAAAAAGTGGAAGAAAAAAAATGAGAATCTATTTTCTTATTTTTTCCTTTCGAATTTTTTGAATCAAAGGTAATGTTAGTCTCTTAAAAAAAAGTATCTACAATTTTAATTAAGAAAAGCCACAAAGTCTAAAAAACAACGAAAGTCATTAAAGGGCAAATTATATTATACATCTGGTTGTACCTAATTTTGGGTACAACCAAGAAATTATTTACGACATGAATTTTATTTTATACGAGAATGAACACTAAGTTATTTGAGAATGAGTATTGTTTTGTTTCAGAATGAACACTACATTATTTGAAGATGAATATTATAATTATATTGAACCAATGTGTGAAAATGAGTACTGTATTATTTTAGAATGAGTATCACGCTAATTATATTTGTGCGAGAATGAGTACTACTCTATTTTAGAATGAGTACTACCCGGATGTACCTATCTCTAGGTACATCCGGTTGTACCATATACCTTCTCATGTGTGTGCTTTAAATTTTTCAAATACACAATTGAGACTTGAGAGTGATACATTAACATTGGGTGTAATTTGAGAATGTATACCGTACACTCCGTGAATATTATTTTGAATCAACAAATGTTCATTTTCATGGAGGAAGAAGAAGGAGACACCGAGCTTCCCATTGCATGGAGGACGAACAAAAATCGTCCTCTTGACTAGGTAATTGGTGACATCAACTGAGGGGTAAGACTTTGAGTATCCCGATCATGTCTTTAAACTCAAGAAAGCACTAAACAAGTACCCCGTGCTTGGTACGAACGTTTGAGTAAATTTCTTTTGCATGGTGGTTTCCAAAGGGGAAATGTTGATACTACACTTTTTATCAAAAGTAAAATCAATTTTGGCTCACATTCCAAAACATATTCTAGCTCCGTCTCAGAAACATCTTCTTGTTTTGACTTTTCTTGGACTACAAATTATAAAAAAATACTGAGTATATATTTATTTATAATATAAATTCAATGTAATTGGGTTTATCTTAATATATTTATAATATATCAAATTTTTATAACATTTATTTATTTAAATTCTATTTAATTTATAATAAAAAAGTGTCAAAATTTAACGCTGAAATTATAATTAATTCCAATTTTCAAAACCATGTCATACCAAACTTCAAAAACTGCCCTTAACTTTATTATCTTGAAGCAGTGTCAAAGAGCCCAGCAACTGACCCACCCATACCCCACTCACCGTTTTTTTTTAACCGAGGGAAGAGTAAAAAACAGATCTTTGGAGAGAGAGAACCAGATATATCCACAATCATAAATAGAAAGCGTAGCCAGTTTGCTGAAGTTACAGCCGAGAAAATTTACAGTACTTTCCAGTGGCGTTGCTCAAGAGTAAGTTCACCTACATAGAAGATTAACTCTTAAAATTTTCACCTTTCACTGAGATCATAACATTTGAAGCTTTAATTTAGGAACTTGTAGAGATATGAGCTTTGTGGTTAATAGCTTGTTCTTGCTCAGATATTTACTCTTTTCTTAATTTTATAATTTGGGGTTAGATTTTTGTTGTCAGGGTCCTTGAATGCTTATTGAATTAGTTCAAGTTTGGGGTTTTGGGACTTTGATTGTGCCATGCAATGACTACTTTTAGGGGTTTAGTGGTTCCTCTTGTTAAAGTTTACAGCTTTGCATGTGTATTAGTAGTTTGTGCTTGGCATAAGCCTGGCTGTACTGATGGTTTTCTGTCCAGAGGTTAAACTTGTTTCCTTTTGTGATTATTTCCTTTATTACTCTCTGTAGTTTTCATGGCGTTCTAGCATATATAGCAATGTGCTAAATAAATACTTCCTTAGTCCTTCGTCCCGGAATTCGATTTCACAGAGTTTAAAATAATGTTGAAAATTGAAAATTGTTTGATTGAAAATTTGTTTAGAGGACAGAAAATGTTGTAAGCCACATATTCGTTAATAGTAAAGTAAGAGTGTGCAAACTTTATTTTGGGACATCCCCAAAAGGGAGGTGCATACTTTATCTTTCCAACAGTGGAATATGTGTAATTGTCTATGAGCAATATTCAAGGTAACTATTAGCTTAGTGAGTTGGCAAATTTGGGCAGGTTTTGGATTCCATCTGTCGTGCATTTATTTTTGGGGTGGGGCAGTGGCGTAAGTTCTTAGGATGTCGCAACCTCAGCCTACGCAACAGCATGAGTTTCCTATAATGTTCAAACAGTTCCAGGAACTTCAGCAAAAAAGACGACTTCAGAAATTAGGTTACATGGGGCAGCAGAATCATGTAGACCAGCTTTGTTTGTTTAACAAACAGACGTCTGGGATTCAAGTTCCACCATTGTTTAATGGAACACCTTTCCGTGACGCACCTAACATGTTTTCTGTTGGATTTCCAAATAGATCGATTGTTTCACAATGTCAAAGTCAGGCTGGATCTCCAATGGGGGTGTTACCCCATCAACTCAATATGTCTACATACGGAAGTCCTGTTGTTCGCCTGGGAAACAATTTGAGTCCCCACCCTACTCTGCAAGGGCTATGTAATGACACGAGTATCTTGACTGATAGCAACATTGTCCAAGTAGAGCTATCCGGGGTTTCGCATGAAACCTTCAACAGTTCATCTATGAGTGAACAATCCAATGCGTCATGCTTTCACTCCGGTCATGGTTTCATGTCAGGCATTGGTCTTGCTCCCAAACAGGTTTTTCAAGAGAACGTCTTTGGACAAATTCCTAATAAGGGTATGGTTGGAAAGCAAGTGAGTAAATCGCCATGCAAATCATTGATGCAAGAATCTTGTGGTGGCCAAGAACAAGTAAGTTCATCTGATCTCTCTGCACTAAAGCTGCCAAACACTCAGAGTGCTTGTTCTTTGGGTCCAGTAGAACAGAAAATTTTGTTCGTTACAGATGATAGTTGGAAATCTAATCTTGGTGAACAGGGCAATGTGGGGGGCATAAGTGGCATTGGTAGAACATCAGGAAGTTCTGATTGTCTCTCTTCTTTTCCCACTGTTCAAAGTGGTAGCTTGAGTGCCCTTATGCAGACTGCAGTTGCAGAAGCCTGTAGCAGTGATACTGGTCTCCAGGAGTGGAGCGGCATGAGCTTTCAGAACCCAGAAACTTCAACTGAAAACCAGCCTTCTAATTATGTACACAGTAGGGGACGACAAAATAACGCGATTCATAATACCATGCAGAATGCCTCGTCCCCTACTTCAAAACCCAAGCTTCTGAGCCAAAGTTATTCTATGAACTTCAATTCCCAGGGTCTTCAACAGTTGAACCACAAGTTTCCAGGACATGTGGAGATACACTCTGGTTCTCAACTGGATACATCTTGCCTTCACGGCCAAGCTTCCACTTCGGATACAACGTATCAAAGATCAAAGTTAGTAAGATTACCTCAATATGCTTACAAGACAACTTCTTACCAAACCTGTATGCAAACTCTATTATACTATAATAATTTTGTACCACGTTACCTAGTATGTTCAGCTTGTTTGCTTGCCACTGTTGCCAGTCTATCACACTTTTGTCCAACTAGTTTTGGCTTCGTTTTATTACTTGCTCCGGTATTACTTAACAGTCTAAGAGTCATACTTTTTCCTTTCTTTTTTTAAATGGCAGGAAGCATTTGTTAAACCAATCTCACACGGATGGAGATATTGTAGAACATAGAACAGGAACTGTCTATAAGTGCAAAGAATTTGTCCAATCATCTGAAAAGGTCCAGACAAACGCCTCTGAATTGTCTCTTGCTCCTCCAGATAATAGTTCTTCCATTGCTCAAAGTAGTATTGGCTTGAGGTTAGGATCACCATCTCAAGGGATACCCAGATTGCACACATCTTCTGAATCTTTAAGTTTGGTGGGTGGCACAACATTTACCCTACAATCTGTGTTTGCTTGAGTAATGTCTTCCTATAATTTCTGTAAACCATAATGTATGCAAAAAGGAAAAAAAACAATTTAGCAGTATGCTCATTCTAAGGAGTTTGTAACACTCATGTTCAATTTGGCAGTTTTATAATCAACTCCAAAATCAAAGCCTACCTTTGCATGTTGGAAGTCATTCACCACAAGAAATGTTTGCTACCCAAGGTACTCCTTCTGTGATCCTTAGCATCTCTCAAGAGGTATCTGAATGATTTGTTATTTCCGATAGTTTACAATGTGATATTACAAGGGAATATATACTAGGAGAATCCTAGGTATATTAGGAAAATACAATACAAGGAAACCTAGGCATGTATGGTAACTAGAATATACACAATATAATAATATGTACATAATATATTAAATATAGAAAGACTATATTTAACATGCTCCCAACGGCATTGGCGATGATTGTCGGATCCCCAAGCTATCACGAAATTCTGAGAAGACCATGGTTGGGAGGCCCTTTGTAAAGATGTCCGCATATTGCAACGAGGAAGGGACATGGAGGACTCGTATATGTCCAAGAGCTACCTTGTCTCGGACGAAGTGGATATCAACCTCGATGTGCTTTGTGCGCTGGTGTTTGACAGGATTGGCAGAGAGATAAACGGCACTGACATTGCCACAGAACACCAATGTGGAGCGGCTGAGAGGTTGCTGAAGCTCTAGGAGTAAGTTGCGCACCCAACTAACTTCAGCTACGGCATTTGTTATAGCCCTGTATTCGGCCTCAGCGCTTGAGCGTGACGTGGTCTGCTGGCGCTTGGTGGACCACGAGATGAGATTGTCGCCGAGGAAGATGCAGTATCCAGTCGTGGACCGACGAGTATCAGGACAACCGGCCCAATCAGCATCCGAGTAAGCCCGCATAGAATCCGTTTGGGACGGAGAGATAGAGATGCCATGAGTGGGTGTGCCATGGAGATACCGTAATACCCGTTTCATTGCCGTAACATGTGGTGTGCGTGGGTCATGGAGGAAGAGACACAGCTGCTGGACGGCATATGTGATGTCGGGACGGGTGAAAGTGAGGTACTGTAGTGCCCCGACGATAGACCGGTACATGGAAGGATCCGGCGCTGGGGGTCCTGCTGAGGCCGATAGCTTCCCTCGTGTGTCAACCGGGGTAGAGGCCGATTTGCACGAGAGCATACTTGCACGATCAAGAATGTCATAGAGGAACTGAGTCTATGTGAGAAACAATCCATGGGTCGTGCGCTGGACATTGATCCCCAGAAAGAAGTGGAGATCCCCCATATCTGTCATAGCAAATTCCCCCTTTAGCCGCTGGATGATTTTCTGAAGGAGGGCCTGGGTGGAGGCTGTGAGTATGATGTCATCCACATACAAGAGTAAGAACGCCATGTGTGATCCCTGACCATAAGTGAACAAGGAAGTATCGCTCTTGCAGTCGCGGAACCCAAGAGAGAGAAGGAAGCCTGTGAAACGTTGATACCAGGACCGCGGTGCTTGTTTCAGTCCATAGAGAACCTTGTTCAGTTTGCAGACGTAGTGAGGGCGAGCAGGATCCTGGAAACCAAATGGTTGTGCTGTGTAGACAGTCTCTGTGAGAGAACCATGAAGAAAGGCGTTCTTGACATCTAGCTGGTGGATCTGCCACCCGCGAGAGACAGCCAAGCTGAGGATGATACGAATAGTTGCGGGCTTGACCACTGGGCTGAACGTCTCGTCATAGTCAATCCCATGGCGCTGATTGAACCCACGGACAACCCATCGTGCCTTATATACCTGGACAGTTCACCTGTGGGGCTAAGTTTGTGCCTGAAAAGCCATTTACCAGAGATAACATTTTGGGTAGGGGAGGGTGGTAGTAAATCCCATGTATTGTTAGCAATCAAAGCATTATATTCATCCCGCATAGCATTGTACCAGTTTGGATCTTTGAGTGCACTACGATAGGTAGGGGGAATAGGGGAGACCTCGGCAACGGTATTAAGGTTGAGTATTTGTTTAGGACAAAAGATCCCGGCTTTCGCACGGGTGACCATGGGATGTGTGGGTTGGGGAGGAGGGGCTGTGTCGGGGAGGGGAGTGGGCTGGGCTTGGGTGTCAACAAGGGCCGTGTGTTTAGTGGGTTGGG